CCCTAAACCCTAAACCTCAAATCCAAAACCCTAAACCCTAAACCCTCAACCCTAAACCTTTATCCCCTGGACCAGGGGAGTTCCTTGATTGCATCGGTCCAAGCGCAGGGGCCCCAGACCCCGAGACCCAGCCCTACGTCTTAAAGACGCGGTTTAGGGTTGAGGGGTTAGGGGCTTCGGGTCTAGGGTTCAGGGGTTAAAATTAAGATTCGGGGTTTGGGGTTTAGGGTGTAGGGGTTTGGGGGGTTTAGGGTTTGGGGTTCAGGGTTTAGGGTTTAGGGTTCAAGGTTTAGGGTTTTGGGGTTTAGGATTTAGGGCTCCAGTAGCAGGCATTCTCTCCCTAAGCCCGAAACCCCTTCAGCCCCAGGCGCCCTGAACTCAAAGGGTTTGGGAAAATAGGGTCTAGGGTTTAGGGTTTTGTCGGCATAATGAAGTTTAGGACTTTGTGGCTTTAAGGCTTTGGAGTCGAGGGTTTTGGGTTTAAGGTTAGGCGGTCCCTACAAGTATCGCTCCTGGCGACTTCTTTGGTTTGTCCCCTTTTGGGTTGTTGTTTCATGTATGGGGGGATCCATTTTTTTTGTGCTTGCCTGGTCCTTTCACCTTCGTTTTCTGATCCATTCATAGGCTTCTGGGTTTAGGGTTTAGGGTCCCTAAACCCTAAACCCTAAACTAGGGTTAAGCGCTTAGGGTTGAGGGTCTAGGGTTTAGGGTTTAGGCTCTACCGAAACGACCCGGTGAAGCGGGGAGTCTGACATGGTAAGGACTTTAGGAGGGACCCCTAATAGGGACCCTTAATCCCATTACCTTAAATAACCATTGTATAGTGCTTATATAGCCAGGTAGTCCCCATATTAACCCCAATAACCGTCCCTATTAAGGGGTCCCTCCTAAAGCCCTTAGAGACATGGTAAGGATGGCACAGTTCCCTGCGTTCAGCCAGTGGTCTCCTACCCTGAGCCCTAAACCCTGAACCCTGAGCCCTAAACCCTAAACCCTACACCCTAAGCCCCCTAAACCCTAAGAGGATTCTTGAGCTCAGACATGAGCAGACGGATAAGAGCCCCTAAAAAACAAAACCCTAGCCCTTAACCGATCCGACTATTTGGGATGGTCGCCAGCCTCAAGCGGTCGAGTTTTCGATTCTCTACTGGAGGGGGACTGCTGAGGCATGAGCCCGAAGGCCGGGTCCGGCTGGAAAGCGAATGTCCTGAAGCAAGCCTCAACTGGTCAGGT